CTTTTAGCAGAGATGTTCTACATTTTAGCAGAGGAGGTGTGTATCCCCCAGGATTTGTATGTCTCATAGAAAGTGTTTCTTTATACTTCTTTTCCTTTTCACCAACCATGAGCCGCTGCAGGCCTCCCTGGGGAGGCAGGGCCTGTCCCCGTCCCAACACCAGCAGAACGAGGGGTGGGGGCAGAGTGAGGCAGGCACTTCTCAGAGCCCTGTGACCGATGGCACACGTGGAGAGCCATCTCAGCCACTGCTGATTTTGCCAGGACAGAATGGGGCTTCCAACCTGCTACATCTCCTGATTTTCCAAAAGATATTGGAAATCCAGATTTTTAGGAGAAATCTCCTGCTTTTTAAATATGGGTAAGTAATCAAAATTTTGGGCTAAACAAAAGGGGCTGGTAAACCACCACTTTGCAACATGTGAGTTAAAGCTGGGATTTGCAGGTTTCATTTTTGAAATACCTCAGCCTCAGATGGATCATTAGGGAAATAAAAGGCAACATGCAGCTGGCGATAAAAGTTTTGTGTTAAATGTTTTCATTGGGGATGGGAGGTCACAAAAGACTGGGGCTCCCTCTCCCAAATCCTGAGTATCAGTCTTCCAAGCAGCCCTGGCTAGGCAGGACTGGCAAGGGCTGGTCTGAACCAGGACTTAGCCACCTTCTGTCCTTTACACACACAGCTCAACACCCCCCTTCATGGCCAGAGTCCAGGTGGTTGGGACGGTGCTTCATAACCAGGTCATTCCCGGCAATGTCATCCTGGCCTAGCTCTGTTAGCTTTCCTCCTCCCTCCCCTGCCTGCTGAGGTCCAGGGACAGCTAAAAGAGGGAATGATCTGGCCTTGCCATCAGCCTCCCCTGTCCCAACATGTCTCAGTCCAGATCCTGAGTGAAATCCACATACCAACCTCTTGACTGCTGAAGTCAAGATACAGGGGGGTAGTTTGCTCTCTCTGGGTCTCTCTCTCTGTCTCTCTCCTATCCTCTGCCCCCCACCCCACACATGTTGATTCAAGGAATAAATTCCATGGCCTGCTTCACTTGAACGACCAACATTTGTCCATGGCAGTGTCTCAGCAGATGGGTATCAGTTGCCTTGATAGTAGTAAGTCAGGAAGCCCTCTGGGGCTCCTGTTAGCAACTGTCCTCATCATGTTGATCATCCCACAGGTGGGGTCACCTTCCCACAGGTGGATCTGGACAGGAACCCAAGCAGCCAGACTCCAAAGACCTCCTCTGGGGTGAAGGGCCAAGCATGGAGCAGCCCTCAGGCCCAGGTGGACTGAACCTCATAGCAGAGGCTCTGCATGCTGATTTAGTATGCTCTGGTCTTCAGGGTCAGGAAGCCTCGGGATGTCTGAACAGCATCCATGCGAATACTATACCTGTGAGGTGTAGTCGGCCAGGACCCAGGGAAACACTGGATACTGCATATAGTCATTGTAGGTCCTCCCAGCCGCAGTGTTGAGGTGCATGAGATACTCAAAATTGCTGATGTCCCTTTTCTACCAGAAAAGACAAAGAGGAGATAAACCAAACACGACTGGCATCTTCCTAAGGACCATGGGGGTCCATTTCTCAGCCCTCTGCAGTCCTTGCTGTGTGGGTGAGAGCAGGCAGCACACACCTCCACTATTCCCCGTGCACCTTGCGCCCGAGCCAGGACAAAGCGGGGAGGCCACACTAATTCCAACGTGAACTGAAGCAAATATATTCAGGAAGCAAAGTTGGCCAGGAAAAAAAAAAATACAGCTCAGCAGTCCAAAGCCAAGGATAAAGGCTTCTTTTGTTTAGCTGCTGGGTGTGATACTCAAAAGTTGATTAAAATAAGAGCATAAATGCTGTGGGTGAACTTACTGCTAACCTTTTTATGATTAAAAAAATAAGCTGATGGGGCACCTGGGTGGCTCAGTCGTTGAGCTTCTGCCTTTGGCTTAGGTCGCAGTCCCAGGATCCTGGGATCAAGCCCCGCATCGGGCTCCCTGCTCCGCGGGAAGCCTGTTTCTCCCTCTCCCACTCCCCCTGCTTGTGTTCCTGCTCTCGCTATCTCTCTCTCTGTCAAATAAATAAATAAAATCTTTAAAAAAAAAATAAGCCGGGCACCTGGGTGGCTCAGTTGGTTAAGCAACTGCCTTTGGCTCTGGTCATGATCCTGGAGTCCCGGGATCGAGTCCCGCATTGGGCTCCCTGCTCAGCAGGGAGTCTGCTTCTCCCTCTGACCCTCCCCCCTCTCATGTGCTCTCTTTCTCTCTCATTCTCTCTCTTTCAAATAAATAAATAAATAAATCTTTAAAAAAGGATAAAATAAAAAATAAAGAAAAAAAAAAGCCAAGGGGACCTTACAGTAGAAAGCAGCCCTCACCAAGAGACTGAATGATCTGTCTTCCTCTGGGAATTTAGGGACTTTCTTTTCTGTCCCCACCTATTGGGATAACACTCATTCTTAGGGCCTTAGAATGTAGAGTCAAGGTGGAATCAGGACGGTATTTGGGAAAATCAGCAGGACCAAGGGGTGAATGAACAGTCCAGTATAGTTGTCACCTCTTATATAGGACCTATATGCTGTGCTCTCTCGCTTGGCCCTCTCGCTGGGAAAGGATTTTGGACAAGAGTGACCAGGAGTTAATTTCTTGTTGTCATTTGATCTCTAGGACTGGCCCTTTTGGGGTCCCTGCCTTTCACTGAGAATCAGAGGCTAAATGTCCATTCATTCAAGCTGAGAGTCATGCATGTCTTCTCAGAAGAAGAGGTGAACACTGGAGCCCCTCTATACTATGTCCATTTAGACATATGTGTCTATCTGCATGGATGGAGCAGGTGCATACACATGTGTACACACACACACACACACACACACACACACACACACACATACACACACTACCCAGTTCCGGCTCCGAGCCTCAAGTACTACTTTCGATCACTAAGATCTTTTTAGGGAAATACTTGGGACATTTTGGTAAATTAAAAAATAAGATCCCTCCCGAGTCACCCACATGCTTTGTCTCTCCATCACTAGGGCCTGAGCTATTTCTGATTTGCCTTCCCACGGGGTTTCCTCAGACTTAAGAGTCCTCTACGGGGGTCACTATACCTGCCACCTCTGCAGCATGGTCCTGTCGGAGCCAGGGTATCTCCTGTGGGACAGAAAACGATGACGGTGACCAAATATCTCAAGGCACAAATGAGAGAAGTGGGAATTTCTGGGGCTCTGTGGGACCAGGGCATCCAGCAGCTCTCCCAGTGGGGTGAAAAGATTATTATCTAAGCTCTGCCTGACCCCACACTACCCTACTGAAGGTTAGGCTCTTGCAGTCACTTTTGCTGGAATATTCTACTGCTGCCTTATGTGTGGCCTGTGGGGAAGTCCTGGGGCCTTGCAGAAGCGGGCTCAAGCCTCACGACCCCACACCAGATTTCCCATAGCTATGCCTCAGCCTGCTTTCCCCATGTACATGTAATATACATGATTATAATATACTGACACGTGACTAAAATATATGGACGTAGTTTAAAAAATGTGGAAGGCCACAGAATAAAAGAGTCTCCAAACTATCACTCCTACTCAAGAAGTAGCCACAGTGAACAGTTTCCAGAATAGTTTTACCCCATGCCTGTCTATGTCCTTATATTGTTGTTGTTTTTTAACTGGCGATACGTGGCATAACCCCATCTGTGCTTTGTCACTGGCTTCGCAGCAGGGTGGAGTCAGCTCACATCGCTCTACGGCATTCATTTCTACAGCAGCAGGACCCCATTGTACAGATGGATCGGGACTGGTTGAGCCTGCCTCTGGGGTGGGTTTGGTCCTCACAAATGACCCTTCAGTGACCAGCTTCAGACATGAATCTCTGGGTACTTGGGGAGTGTACCTGTGAGAGAAATTTCTGACAGCGGTTCTAGTGGGATAAAAAGTACGAGCATTTTCCAGTCTGCTACATATTGCCAAACCGTCCTCTTAAAAGGCTGTACTGATTTCGGTTTCTACACATATAATTAAGAAATACAAACCAAACCAAAGAAATACCGTTTTTGACCAATGTGGTGGGAAAAAGTTTAGAAGGGCGACAAGATGTCATGCCGGCAAGGGCGTGGGGAGGGGTTTTTTCCACGTGAAGTGCCGCTTCTGCTCAGCACGGATTTGTAGAGTCCAGTTCCTTGGCCTCTGTGGTATCCCTGGGTTCCTTTCCCAGCTCTGTTTTCCTCCCCTCTCTGTCCCCATGAGACTCTCCTTCTGCTCTCAAGACCTTTGTTCAAGATGCTCCGCCAAACCCAACCACATCATGTCTCCTCTTTCCATCCCTTACCTCTTCCTTGGTCCCGTTCAGGTGCCCACAGATGCTACCCCACATGCATTTTATGTTCTACTCACGTGCACTGCACCAGGGTCCTTCTGGCCTCCATCTGTCTGGACAAGGCCTGGCTGCCTAAGGGCCCTAGCGGGGGCAGTGCCCCTTCACCTTCCCACCACAGCACTGTCGGCCTATACTCTGTCTCAGGTTTCCCATCCCTTTTCATTCAGTTCTTTCCTTGGTAGGTTTTTTATAAACAGAATGCAGCTCCCAGGCTGGGGTTCACCTCTCTCCCACTTGCCACCCCCAGTAGAGAAATCATCTATTGCGTCCACTCTATCTAGGCAAACAATAGTTACAATGAACAGAAGCAAAACACAGTCAGGTTTATTGCTGTAGGTCGCAAAGGCTCAAGTGAAGATTTGGTTCTCTTGCTCAGTCTGTGAGCCTGCCACCTATCCCAGTTCTGGAAGGCAGGGTGCTTTGAAGGCTACAAACACGGGCAGAGCCCAGGCTGGAGACAGTGGGGGTCACCACCTTGGAAAGGACATGTGCTGAGCCTTCCTAGGAGGTCGAGCTACAAGGATGTGGAGTTAGTATGGCAAAGCTCGCTAGTCTTGCTACTTTATTTTGTAAGTTTGACAGGGGAGCAGGAAATAAGGGAACAAAATGTACCTATTATAGTTCAGGAAATGAGAGAAGCCTGGGTCATTTTCCGTTTCAGAGAGGGTTCTAGAATTTTACTGGTGGTCTTTTGTGACATTGCCCCCAGGTGGAATGGTGTGCAGAAGATAGAGGCATGTCACCATCCCATTTCTCATTTCATCGGCTATGAGCTCCAAGGAAGATCCATCGTTCCCTTACTACCAGCAAAGGACACCGTTACCAGCAGTGCCAAGACATCTAACCAGAGGTGAGTCATAGTTTTCAACTTTTTATTTGTTTGTTTTATTTACGTGTTTGTTTTATGTTTCCATTTCCACTTCTGTCCTATTTCATTTGAGAATTTATGTGTATACTCCTACACAGATTTTTTCTTTTTTTAATTTATATACATATATATATATTTATTTATTTGTGTCCAGTTGACACACAGTGTTATGTTAGTTTCAGGTGGACAACACAGAGATTCAACATCTCTAGACGTTATGCTGTGCCCCCCACAAGTGTAGCTGCTGTCTGTCCCCATACAGCTCTAGTACAACATCACTGATGGTGTTCCCTACGCTGTGCCTTTTACTCCCGTGACTTATTCATTCTGTAACTGGAAGCCTGTATCTCCCATCCCCTTCACTCATAGACCTAATAATAATAATACCAATAATTATCACACGTTAAAGATTGCAAAGACTTTTTACCCGTTGTCTAATTTCCACAGTGACCCAAGAAAGCAGCCATTACTTCACATACAGATGAGGAAGTGGGTGGGTGGGGCAAGGGAGTGGCGTCAAGCCCAGGGGAGTTCACCCCAAGCCGGCACAGAGCAGGGATCCGTGAGCCCCTGACACGCTGGGCTGTGCAAAGCATCCGCCCAGACTAAACCTTGACCCGGGGCCCTGACTCACAAGACAAGCTCTTTCCTCTGACGGGAAAAAGAAAACAAAAGTAAACAGAAAACAACAACAGCAAAAACCTTAGTTCTGGCTGACTTAGAAGGCAGTTACCTGACAAATTAGTAATTTGTGTACCTCTGGAGTTAAACAATGAGCATTAGCGAAGTCTCCCAAGTTATTACTGCATACCCATGAGATAAACATGAAGCTGTAGAGGCACTGAAAGTCTGGAAGGGTATAGAACAGGAAGTTACCTCCAGATGCTGAAACTGTGCGGCTTTAATTCTCATGAGGTTTTACATATCTGCATTTTAAAATGTATTTATCTTCTTGTGCATTTTCTTCTGTAAAATATTGATTTTATTTTTGCTTATCTGTGTTTTATAATTTTCACATTATTTATTTTCTAATTTAAATGATGTACTTTTACGAATAGTCTAGTTAGAAATACACTGGGTCATAGGACTTCAGGTAACTTTTAATATTCTACTTATCTGAATTTGGTAATTATTTTAAATCCATTTATTGTCTAAATTAAATGACCTGTTTTCTTTTAGTTTTGCATTAAACAAAACAGTGGTGGTATCCATGTTTTGAAGTTTTTGTGGTTAGCCATATTTTTATTTTTTAATTTCAACTATTTCCTTTTGCTTTTTTTTGTACTTTTCAAAATGTGTAGTGCTTGGATTCATTTTGTAGTTCAAATTATTTATTTGCTAATTATCTTACTTATTTCCAACTTGATTTGGGTAGTGCAATTTAGAGCATATTTATTTCTTCATTTCTATGTATGCATTTTCAAATTTTTCTACGAGGTTATTTTATTATTTGCATAATAGTTTTCATATGTAACTTTTTGCTGATCTTCTCAATTTCTGGGGATTTAATTTGAAGAAAAACACTGAACAAAAAGATTATAAATGTACAAATACATTTGTTGCAGCCCTATTCATGATAGCACCAAATTGGAAACAACAGGAAAAGCACAGTCCACCAGATTCAGTATTACACGTTCAATCGAAAGGTAGATTTTAGAAATTACACATCAGCATTTGACATAATATTAAGTGAGGAAAAAAAGGACTATGTAAACTGTATGGTTTTTACAAGCATTATGGTCATTCTGACTTCATAGCGTGAAAAGGGCACCAAGAGAAAACTGCAAGAAATAATTAAATTCAAATAAACAGATAAAAGAGAGCTCTCTCACAGATCAAAGAACTGAAAAAGCTATTTGGATAAACAACAAGTCGAGTGATAGTTCGTGGGACTCCCTCAATGCTTCATATAGAAGTAAGGTAATCTGTCCCTTAAAAGGGGCAAGCATAGCTGTTTCTCCCTGTTAGCAATGTCCACTTCTGGCGTGGCCAGGGCAAGCTGGCTCTGCCTGGTGGTGAAGTGCCCACCGCGCTGCTGGGGGCGGCCAGGAGGAAAGTCCCCCCCTGCAAGAAGCGGGAGGAGCCCAGGCCCGGGCGTCCCTGCCACATAGCGGTATCCTGGAGACACTGTCGCCTATTGTGTTCTCTCACCTTGCAGGCTAGCGTCAAGATTATGCTAATTAACTCCAGGTCCCATAGTCTCCTGTTGCCTGGTGACAAAGTTTCACAGTTGAGGAGAAGGAACTGGCAGGAACGGGGGTAAGTTTTTCTCTGGTGGTGGCCTTGCATTTATCGATTTACTTGAACTCTGCCAAACAAACTCTGCTTTTTGCTCTCCTCCTTTGAGTAAGCAACTTTGGAAATGCTAGTTCTCTCGGTGTGCTTTGTTTACAAACCCCAGACATGAGCTAATTCATTATTTAGGAGAAGAGGAAGCTGGCCCAGAGCCCCAGGCTGGAAGGGCAACTAGCAGGGGCCCTAGCTGGGGACCCAGCCGGCCTTTCTTGGGTGCCCGGGGCCATGGGCCACCTTGGGAAAGACGGTGTGTGAATCTGTGGGGCTTTGCAGTCATGCTTGGGTCTCTTTCCAAAGTCTGTGTCTGGAGCATTTTGCTGTTTCACAAGCAGGGGGAGACTATGGAGTTTGAACTGCTTCTTACCCCCACCAGTGACTGACCCCCAAAGAAAGTGGAATGTGGGAGCTCTTCTTCACTCAGGAGGCTGGGGCCTAATGACTGCTGACTATGGTGGGGGTTGGGGGGCACAATCCATCTTTTGAGAAGTCTGGAGGCAAACCCTTGCCACAAGCTACCCTGAATGCTGGGACCCATTAACAAGCAGTCAAGTCCTGGGCTGGGCTGGGCCTTGCAAGGAGAGACTCTTCAAGAACAAACTAGAACACATGCCTTATGCCCCTATTTCCATGACAGGTGTAACGGGAAAAGGTAGGTGCTCCTACTCCCAGTCTTTGTGACTCTGGGCAAGCTACTTGGCCTCTCTGAGCCTTAGTTGCCATATCCATCCAGTGGAGATGAAAATCAATACATCAGTGGTTATAAGAATTACTTATAATGTCTGTAAAATGTCTAGCCTATAGTAGGTGGTCCATATAATCTACACACACTGAAAGCAGGAACTGAATTCAAATGTGTTAACAACTACGCAGTGTTGTTGCTTTGCAAAGGGTCTGGCACATAGTAGGTTCTCAATATATTTATGAACCATATGGGATGTTATGTTATGTGAACCAAGTCCTGAACACCAGCTCCTGCAGGATGAAATGGGGAGTCAGAAAGGTTAGGAAATGTGTACGAGGTCACATATCTAGGGAGAGACAGAGCTGCGACTGGTCTGTGACTCCCATGCCTTCTGGGCTTGAGCCTGAGCCTGCAGGGGAGACGGAAGTACTGGGACAGCCACTCCCCACTCTGCAGAGCACCTGAGCCCCACGGTTGTCTAGAGACCGATTTTTAGGGCCTAGTGCTTGGTGGCTCCAATTTCCTCTTGGGGACCCAAGGGTCTCCTACTGTTGCTGTCGAGAGGTGATGGTGACTTCATGCTTTCTCCCTCCAGCCATCACCTGGGTGATGGGAAAGTCAGACTGGGTGATGTTTCCTGGCCCCTGGTATCCCTAGAGCAGAAGGTGTGCACAGAAACCTGCGCCCCTCCAGACAGGCATGATGGGCTCCCCGGCCGCACGATCCATCACCAACCTTTCCATCCACTGCCAGTTCGATTCACTGCCAACTTCCATTTTCCTCCCAGTCTCACGTCACAGACCTCATCTCAGCCCCCAGAGCTAGGTCCAATAACACACACGCATGCTGTCTTTGCTGCGATGGGTGAGTCTTCAGGATGGGGCTTGACCTGGTGTAGAATGAGAGTCCCACAGAATCTAGCTCCGTTGAGGCTAGTGTCTGGAAAACACGAGTCAGGAGCTTCCTTGTCAGTCCAGAGAGCCAAATTTATCACTGGACGTTGTAAAATCAAATTTCATGGAAAAGCCGAGGGGCAGTTCAGCCCACAGACAAGACTGAGCAGATACTGGCTCTGCTTTGACCAGCGTGTGACTTTGACAGAGGACGTGCTCTGGAGGCTCAGTGCTTTACCGGTAAAGTGGGGTGGATGGACCAAATGAGATAATACACATAACGCACTTGGACATAAAATTAGCACTCAGCACAAAAGAGGAACCATGTATAGAAAACGCCAGGCCTGCTAGAACGTCAGCCTGCGTTTTCTCTTTGACCCACACATGCAACCCAGACGACCATTCCTTTGATTCTGCTTCTACCACACATGGTAGCTGTGCGCCATCCTTCCCCTCCACACCCTCTTGGTTTACACTATCTTTTGCTGCCTGCAAGTGGCTGTCTTCATCTACTCTTCCTTCTCTACCTCTGGAGACTTCCCAGCAGCCAGGGTGATGCTTCTAAACTTCTAAACAGGCCCTCCCCAGCTCTTTGTCTTCATTTTCTACCCCCTCCTTACTGGTCCTGCTCCAGCCCCCACGGCATCTCCCTTCTCCCCACCGGTAGGACTTTGCACCTGGTGCAACCCCCACCCCGGGGTGTTCTTCCCCAAATCCTCCTGTGTGGCCTAGTTCTAGTGTCAGCTCAAATGTCACCTCAGAGAGAACTTCCCTGACCTTCTTGGTCTAAATTAGGCCACCCCCTCCCCAATATTCGCTCCCCGATTCTTGGCATTCCCTTTGACGTCCACCAGGTTTTGATTTTTTGCAGAGCGTCTACACCAACTGAAATGATCTTAGGTCTTTTTGTTTGTTTTTATCGATTGATTTGCCTCTCCTAAAAGAGGAGTTTCGTGAGAAGTCCAGCAATGTCTATCCTGTTCACTGCATCTCCTCCGGCCTGACCCTGACCTATAGAATGACTCAAATACAGATTGCTGAATGAATGAATGAATGAGCAAGTGAGTAGCTTGGGCTGTAGCAAGCTCTAGAGGTTAACAGTGGACAAAGGTATAATCATACCTTCTAATTGCTACTATGTTTTTTATCTTTTATTATTAATTTGTGTTTAAAAGGTTGCAAAGACTTTTGTCCTTGGGAATCCGCAAAGATTGTTCCACAAGTCTTACATCTGGTATTAATGACCAGTGGGGAGTGTCCTAGGGCTACTCACTGCAGGGAAGGGATCACTATGGTGCTGTTTGGTGGATCTACCAGCATGATTTACCATCACAAAGGCACTGACTGTGGGAGCCAGGTTACCACTCACTGAGCACCCGCTACACACTGGCCACTCAATGTATAGTCATCCCCGCATTTACTTTTCATAACAAGCTGCGCTTTTCTGACCCATTTTGCAGATCAGCAAACTGAGCTCAGGATTAAAATCAGGCTGGCAGTAAAGGTGGGGTGGAGCCCAGTTCTACTGGCCTCAAAGCGCCCGTGTTCCCTGCTGCCCGTGTGCCTGCCTTCTATTAAGTACTTTTATACACAACAGGAAGGAAGCAGACAAACTGGCTAATACCTGGTCACTAAGGTGCAGAGCTGCTCCATCCTAAACACAGTGCTGCTGCCTGCCTTGATCTTTCCTATCATGTCCAGCAGGTTACATCTAGCTGCCCAGAGTCAGAGAAGGGGTCTCTCTCACTGATGATAGGGCTGAATGCTTCAGTAAATAACTTCAAGTAAGCCCGATAAAGACTCAAGGAGGCATGGGAAATCTGAATTTAGGGAATATTTCTACAGAAAAAAAAATTAAGATTAGAAGCCACAGCATTTTCAAAAGACAGGTGCCTTACATACAAGCAATGAGCCCCAAACCACCCTTTTGTGTCCCTTTAAAAATCAGCCCACGGAAAAAATAAATATAAATAAAAAAATAAAAAATAAATAAAAATAAATAAAAATCAGCCCACGGTCCTTCCAGTGGCCTTCCCCTCTGGATGGACAAACGTTAGCCACTGTTTACATAAATATCCTCCCCTACGTTGAAGCCTAGTTTGGGTCGCCAACACAGAGAAGGCCATGTGGTTTGTGCATCACAGTCGTCTGTGGTGGGTCAGGGTTTTCAGTGTGGTGGAGGGCTGGCTGGCTCTGAGGGAACATCTCTGGAGGGAACGAGAATGGCTGCCTCCCTCCTTCCCCCACTCCACCACCCTCCCAGCACGGCCAAGCATGGGGCTGCCTCCGGCTTAGTTTGCATGTCTGCAGTTGGTGAGGCGCTTCTCGGGTGCTCCCCCACCTCCATCTGCCACTGTGGCTGGGCGAGTTGGGGTTCTCAACTAACAACCAGCACCACGGCTGCCATCCCGTCACCAAAGCTCCCCTTCACTAAGCACCTGTCACCCCCCCCCGACCTTTTTCTCCCATACAACCCTCTCATTACCCCACTCTACCTGAGGGACCTGGGGCTGGTGACACATTAGCAGGAAATAGGGAGTCAGGAGATGAGCCCAGCTGGTCCACCTCCAGGCCCGTGGCCCTCTGTATGTGTGGTTCCTTCTCATCTTTGTCCAGCGAGTATTTTCTCAGATGTCCCTCTTTGACTCAAATATGCTCGCTATTTTAAAATCTCTTTCTCTCTCTCTCTCTCACACACACACACACACCCCTATTTTAAACAGGGTGACATGAGTGGCTTTACAGAATTCATGCAATTGAAAAGGAAGTAGATGTGTGTGTGTGTTGTGTGTGCACGTGCATGTGAATGTGTTTGTAACTTTCTTTCCTGATTAGACATAGATTTTGTATCCAATGCAGAGAACTTAGAAACTACATAGACATTTAAGAAAGAAAGTAAAAATAACCCAACACCATAATTTCCAGAGGGCATTTCTACTAATATTTGGATGTTCTTCCATCTTTTTTCTTGAGGTGTGTGTGCATGCTCATGAGGGCACCGAGGTCATATGGGCACAGAATGTTTTCCTCATAACATTATATCTCCAAATGTTTCCTTTCAGCATTTCTTGGAAAACGATGTTTTTATTTTGTTTTAGTTACTGTTGAATATTCATTTCGTGCTGTGACTGGACAGTAAGTCATCAACTGTCCATTGTTAGATATATGGATTGTGTCCATTTGTTTTTATTATTGTAAATAGCACTGCCATAAACATATTTACACAGAACGTTTGGTTCTTATTTCTTGAAAAGAGGTTCTTAGCAGTGATATCTGAGCTGCCTGGTGAGCCGGAGTGGGGGGATGAGGGAGTCTCATCCCGAAGGTGAGCCGCATCTCCTCAGACCTCTTGCTTGATCCCATTGTCTCTCATTCATTCCTACTTTTGG